CTATGTAAGATAGAGTAGCAATTAGTTCAAGATAATATTCTCTATCAATAACTGAATAAAGAAATCTTGTATTTCTAAAAGACATATGTTTTAAGACAATGATTATATTGAAGTTTACTTTTCTGTTTTGAATTTGAAAATTAACCAGGATGCTTGAATACATGATTGATCTTTTAGATATTAATAGATTTGTTAGCAAATAGACAGGATTAGGCTAAAAACTACATTTAAAAATTTTTAGTAAGATTGAGCCATTTACTTATAAAAATAGAAAGCTGTGCCTGTACTGATATAGGACTATTTTCCTTAGTTTCCAGAGTGTGGATTCTTTGGCATGTATGACAAAATTCTTCTCTTTCGCCATGACATGAACTCAGAAAATATTTTGCAGCTGATTACCTCAGCAGATGAAATACGTGAAGGAGATCTAGTAGAAGTTGTTCTTTCAGGTAAGTAAATAGCTTCTTTTATTTTGTTGCCTTTTTTTCAGTGAGCCTTATTTTTTGTTTTAAATGCTCTGTTCAATTATATTTAGTCTTTGTACTAGTTGCTTAACTTCTTTCATCAATAATAATGGTTACCATATGATTTTTACTTTCGGGAAGTTTATATCACAGATGCGAAAGTGGTAAATAAGCCCTGAGTTACTTACTTGTGTTACTAAGCTAAAGGAATTATCAGTTAAACTAGAAGAGGAATGTATTCTTTTTTGAGTCAAATAAAACAATTATACTAAAATTCTCTTCTCTTTTTCCCATTTCTGTAAAGAGTATAGAAAAAGAGAATTGGGGTTCAGAAAAAAAATCAGGAAAAAAAAATAATGAAGATGTAGAAGAGGCAACTGCAATACTGGTTGTTTCCATGACTTAAATAATGCTTCTTTCCTTGTTCTCAGTGGGCACTTTCTTACCTCTCTCCTTCCCCCTCTCACCTATTCTTGCCATTCAGTGTTTCTTAGCTCCTGCCACTTCAGATCTCAGTGGCAGATGGACAGGATTGTTAGTGAGGAGTGTAAAGGAACAAAGAATGCATATAGCAGGCCTGCCAAACTCTTCGTTTGGTAGGAAAGGAGGGAAGAAGGGACGGGGAGAGGATAACAATGAGAGGGAGAAAGGAAAAGACGGAAAAGAAGTAAGGATAGGAAAGGGAGGAAGGCCAACCAAGAGTCCAGAGCCCTGCCACCATTTTTTCCTCTTTTCAAATTCATCTTTGCAGCCAGTACTTGAGCTCCCTCTGACCATCACCATTCTATATTGGTCCCTGATCCTTCCCATTCATCTAGCCCCTACATTGGTCATTCTTCTTCTATACCACAACCCCCACACACCTGTACACTTCCCAATCCTTGACTTCCTCTTCACTCTCAAGGCTCTTCACTCCCTGTCTTCCCTGGAGGTCATGCTCACATCCACTCCTCCTTTGTTACGGAGCCTTCCTCTGGCCACTGTGGATACTAATGACTTGTAGGTGGAGGTGAGATGATGTCTACTGGCAGATGTGTTTACTGTTCAGTTGCTTATGGAGGGAAGAGGAGACTCTTTTTTAACCACTAGGACTGTGGAGAACAGACAGAGAGCACATTCTGAGCTCTTAAGTTAGAATTGAGTGCATTTCTCACAGAAACATTGTTGTAAATTGAGGTCAGTTTCCACAATTTTACATTTATTTATTTTTTAACTTTAACATTCTATTTTCCAGTGTGTTAAACAGTTTATTTCTTAAATAGATTTCTTTATTTTTTTTTATTTTTAATTCGTTTATTTTTTATGGTGACATTGGTTAACAAAATCCGATGTTTCAGCTGTACATTTTAACAGTAAGGCATATATATATTTACACTGTGTGTTCACCTCCCATAGTTAGATTTGTTTCTGTCACTACATATTTGACCCCTTTTCCCCCATCTACCCTCTTCCTCCCTCCTTCCTCCCATTAAACAGTTTTTAATTGGCTAAAACAAACCTGATGACTATTTGCAATCTTGTCACTTTGAGGTCAAAATACCTACATATAGATCTACTTTGGAGCTCAAATTATTTGAAGCTGATGAACGTCCTAAAGTAGAGTTTAAAAACCACAATGTTAAATGCTGAAAATAATTTATTTTTAGAGTCAGATGAAATTCAGAGAAAAAATGATTCTGTGCTTTGACGTAAATAAACATAATCAACCTTCCTAATCTCATACTAATTACAAAATGAGGTTTATTTTAATGCTTTTTTTTTTTTAAAGCTTTGGCTACAGTAGAAGATTTCCAGATTCGTCCACACACTCTCTATGTACATTCTTACAAAGCTCCTACTTTTTGTGATTATTGTGGTGAGATGCTCTGGGGTTTGGTACGTCAGGGACTGAAATGTGAAGGTATGTGCTCTAAACTTTGTGTCATTTGAAATAAGTTTTCACATTTGCATTCTCTAATCATCAATGAAAGACCAGATCATTAGTTCATGACTAGGTAGTATCTAAGGTTTAGAATTGAAGAGGTCTGTCTAGACTCTGGTCTTTGCTCTGCCACTTACTCAGTCATACTGTTGGGCAACTTAACTAAACCTCTCTGAGGATCATTTTTTCTATCTATAAAACGTGCTCTACTTTCCTGGTTTTATGAAGAGTAAATGGTTTAATGAGGTAATATGGTTAAAATACTTGGTGCAAAATTGTGGCTCAATAAATATGAACTTCCTTGTTTTTCCAAAATGTTAGTGTTTTACATGCAACAACAAAGTTCTGAATTAGAATTGCTAGGGAATAGGATGCAGTTGCACATTTCCATTTAAGAAACTCTAAGGTGAAGGATCAATAAAATTTTTCTGTAAAGGGCCAGAATAAATATTTTAAGTATTGCTGCCATATGGTCTCTGTTGCAACTACTTAACTCTGCTCTCATAGCATGAAAGCGGCCACAGCCAAGATGTAAACAAATGAGCATGCTGTTTTCCAGTAAAATTCTTTATAAATACTGAAATTTGAATTTCATGTAATTTTCACATGTCTTGGGAAGAATTTGGTACATAGGCCACAGTTTGCTGAAGTGCTTGAAGCCGGTAGTTCTCAAACTTTACCATGCATCAGAATCACCTCAAAGACTTGTTAAAACATACTTTGCTAGGCCCCAACCCCAGAGTTTCTGATCTCGTAGGTCTGGGATGGAGCCTAGTAATTTACATTTCTAACAAATTATCAGGTGATGTTAAACTTGGGGACCACACTTCGAGAATTACCACTCAAACTAACTTAACCTTTCTAAATAAACTTTTCTACACATTTCTTATTCTTTTTGAATTTGTCAGCTTCCACTTAGCCTGTCATCTTGGTTCTTAGGATAACTATCACTGCCAGAGAAAATAAATAAAAGAAGCACCTATTTTTTATGTAACATACTTACATAGTAAAAATATATAAAATACTTATATATTTTAACCTTTTAAAATATATTTAGGCTGTGGATTAAATTACCATAAACGATGTGCCTTCAAGATTCCAAATAATTGTAGTGGAGTAAGAAAGAGGCGTCTGTCAAATGTATCCCTGCCAGGACCTGGCCTCTCAGTCCCAAGGCCTCTTCAGACTGAATGTGTGGCACTTCCCACTGAAGAGGTATGTATTCTAAGGTCCTAGAAGGGCATCGTACAGTTACTCCTTATTTCGTACAGGATATGTGACATCATCCTAGAATATAAGTTATATACTAAAGAATAGTAAGAGTCCTACACTTAAGAAACTTAAAATGTGTTAATGGAGACAGGGCTTACCAAATATAATGAAATACGTTTCGTATCATTTGGGATCACATTATCACTTGGGCCTCACTGCATTCGCCTCCTAACCGGTATCCCAACTCCTGGTCTCTATATTTTACTTGATCTTACACACTTCATCCAGACCATCTTATTACACTACAGCTTAATACACAACTCCCCACCAGGAACGTTTATTCTGTATTTCCAGCACTCTGTACTCTTCAGCATTCCCTGTACACACCCTTGCTCCCCGTTCCTTTGCCTTTGTTTGTCCTACATGTTTTTCCCAGAACTAGCTCAACAGCTACCATTCCTGATTTCCCTTTACCTAGAAGTTATTTTATTATCTGAATGCCATAACACTTTTCAGACTTCCTGGATGGTGTGTATAGTGTTTATATACTAGATTGTCCTCAAGAAGAATATGATCTATTTAAAGAAAACAATGCTAACGTCTTTGCAAACCTCACCATGCCCAGCACAATACCTGGTACTTAGTAGGTGTATTCAGTGATGAATGAATGAGTGAGTGAAGGACCCCCCTGACCCTCACAGTATCTCAGTGGGATTTATCAGTAGATCTGTACACCATGAGACTGAAATCACAGAGCAAGTTAGTAAGTGATATTAGAATTAAATCCAGATCTGATTATTTTTAAATTAATGACTTTTTCTAATATATTGTACCCCTCAAGGGTTAAGTAGTAGATCAGGGAAAGAAAGAAATAACTTTCTTGTTCATTTGATAGTGCTTAAAATGATTTCCATTCGTAGATTACAATCTTATTATTTAGTTGCTTCCCTAACCCCTCTGGTCTTCTGTAAATTAATGATAAAATCAAGCCTTTGGGCTATTTTCTTGATATCCTAGTCACAAGATTTTGCTAAACCAACGCACCAGTGTAAAAGCTTCTGAAATTCATTCACAAAAGTCCCATATTTCCATATTGCTTAGCCCTAGTGTAAGATTTTTAAAGTAGAAGACTACTGTAGCATAAGGAACTGAGAACAATGAGTTATTGTAAACATATGCAAGAGCTTGAGAAAAGATTGGTAATAGAAGAGTTAGTGCATTTTATATTTTAACTGCACAGGAAACTTAATCTGGGAATGAGGCCTGTAGGATAGAGATATGTTCTTTTAAGAGCCCCGTAAATGATATTGGCATGCCAGCTACCCTCAGTTGGGTATTATTAGATTAGCATGTAACAGGACAGAGTAGATGAATAAGGTATTATGTTTTAATTCATTAGTTTATAATTTACCCTGAAGATGAAAATTCCTTAGGGAAGTATAAGAAGTAGAGTGACATGTCGAATTGGTTGGACTGTGTGGAGTTCTTAAGAACAAGTAGAAATTGTAGAGTGGAATGCCTGTCAAGAAGCTTACTTTTGTCAATCCAAGCATGTAGTCTCCAAAAGGAAAGAGGTACAGTAAGAACTCAGGGAGGAAAATCAGAGAAGGAAGAGGGGAAAGAGGACCCTACAGGAATGGAGGAGATAAGGAATAGGAGATGGAACACACTCAAATCCGAACCAAGGTTAGAGAGGAACTAACTCCCAAGTGGCTGCAGAGTAAGAGCCTCCTAGGTTCTCATGTGCCAGGCTTCTTGCTGTGGCACTGTGCACACATGCTCTGTACCATGTCCCTAGTACCGTGATCCCAGCAGGACTTGACTAGAGGCAATCACTGACTGGCCATTAGCATATGAAGGGATCTGTTAGGAAAGTTTTTCCTTGTAGGGGTTTCCTGTATACTTGATGATGACTGGCTAAATCAGTCTTATTTCATCTTGTGTGTTTTAAACTTGAGATAAACCGAAAGTAGCAGGAGCAAGAAAGCAGTGTTGAGTCACCACTAGCATAGGGAGCCAGGGATGAACAAAGGCCTAAAACATCTGTTTCTGGTTCCCGCTGGCTTCTCCGTTAGCTTTGCAGAATCACTGTGGTGTTCCTTTTGCTGAAGGTGCTCCATACATGACAGCATGGATAAAGGGTGAACCAGACTAGAGCAGGACACCTTGGACAGCTAAAGCATGCAAGCTTGGTTTGGGTTTTAACATTTGTTTTGTATTCTCTTAAACTATTTCGTAATTTGTTTTAGAGAATTTCTTGCTGCACGTTAGTGAAAAACTCCATCAGAGGCTATATTTTTATTCTGTTTATAGTGCCCTGCATTTGTTTGTCCTTTTCTTTTTTCTTCTTCTTCCTGCTTTCTTTTTTTCCCCCTCCCTTCATTTCTCCCTTACACTTCCCTGTCTCTTGGTTTCTTCTGGCTTTTTTCTCCTTCTGTTGGTTGAACATATCAATGTAGAATGGCTCAACTTTCGTGAGTTACAAGCATTACTAGTTATAGAAGGTATGTGAAAGCTCTCAGGACCTCAGTTCTAGCAGTGAAGATGCAAGCAGCTATACTAAAACCTGTAATACATCTAGAAAGTAGTTAGATATTTGGATTTGTTTTAAAATATTTTCAGACATTGTGTTCAGTAATTTAAGAAGAACAGCAATAACATTTTCTGAATTTATTTTTTCTATGCTTAATTTCTTGGTAAAGTTTTTGAAGAGATTTGAACATCTGTTATAAATTGATTTTAAGGCTTCTGCTTTTTTATTTGAAAAATATCATCTGTGCCTGGCAACTTATTGTTAAACAGTGAATATTTAAATATAGATAGATAGATAGGGAGGGAGGAAGGGAGGTAGGTAGATAGGTGGATAGATAGATGAAAATATCTTTTTTTGCATAAATAGCAAAAACGTTTATACTTTTTTCATTCAAAGGTTGGTAAGTTAAGCTTCCAAAGGAAATTGCTGATATCTACATGTCTAGATTTTGGCTTTAGTGTTAAAAAACAAAATGACTTTTGTGGTCAAGCCCTGCTCCTAATATTTTGTTTTTAATGTTGACTTATACTTATGGAAGTTACTTATATTTTAGTCACATGTTCACCAAGAACCAAGTAAGAGAATTCCTTCTTGGAGTGGTCGCCCAATCTGGATGGAAAAGATGGTAATGTGCAGAGTAAAAGTTCCACACACATTTGCCGTTCACTCTTATACCCGTCCCACAATATGTCAGTACTGCAAGCGGTTACTGAAAGGCCTCTTCCGCCAGGGAATGCAGTGTAAAGGTAGGATTGGATGTTTTTCTTAAGTAAAATTTATATCTGATTTTGTTAGCAAATGTAGGTTTCAAATATTTTTTAGAAGAATAAAACAAAGAAATTTGTCTCATAGCTTAAAAAAGAAAGATACCTACACACACATGCACACATGTATTTATTCACATTTACTATTACTGTTTGCAGTATGTATACTGTGTACCAGGAATTGTACTAAAGAAAAATTGGAATGTAAATAGAAAACTAGAATTTGGATCTCTGCGGTATGGCTGCTAAATATTTCTTAATACGGAACAGTTAGTAAGCAGATAGTTGAGATTAATTCTTTCTGACTCCAAAGACAGACACTGCCCAAGATATAAAATAATGCTCCCTCCTTTCCAGTAAATATTCTCTCTCTCTCTCACATACACAGACACAGACATACACACACTATGAGAGTTTTGTTTTTAATTCTGTAGCTGGGAGAGTTGTACAAAAACTCATTCCAGAGAATAATCACACTAAAATAGGTAGACTATAGTAAAAACTACTGGAATTATAATAGGAAATACCCATATTTGGATACTAACCCAGAATACTGTCATTGTATTCCAAAAACATTTCTTAATGAACCAGGTTTTTAATAGAATAATGGAATAGTTTTTTCCTATAGTCGTATAATGTTTTTATGCTTTTAACAAATGATTTTATCTGTTTTATCTTATGTCTTCTTCTCAGCAATGCAGTATAATAGAGCAACCAGATAGAGAGTTTAAATGTGTTATTAGTCATTGAACCAGGATAGGATAAATAGTCTATAATCTTAGGTACTGAGTTTTCATGTGATTGTTCTAATAATTCTTGGTACCATACCTTTTTATTTAGTAGAAGTATTTATGGAATTGAATTATTTAGTTTCATCTAAATAAAAGATTAGATTTGAGGTCTTTACAACAATAAATCCTGTTTACAATATAAAATCAAATAATTGTATATAAATTTCACTTAAGTATATAAGAAAACTTTTTTGGTAATATATGGCAATGTAGGGGAACATCAAATAGAGACTAGGTTGTACGTTTGTTGTCAAGTATTTAATAACCATCACGCAGGCATAAGTACATGTTGAAATTTTATTTCAACAGCTTACTTTTGAATATGAGTTAATATATGTTAATATTTTAAAATATCAACACTAAAGTGTATTGGCAAGCAGCTACTAAGGAATGTTTTGAGAAAGAACATTAATAACAGATGTACACGTTCTGGCCAACACATAATCTTAGTAAAGGTAGTAAAACAGTGCTGCTCTGCTGAGCAGAACAGAAACATTCTAAAATCATACACACAAAAGTAAAATATTTTGTAGAGGAACTAGAATAAATATGTAGATTAATGAATTTTGAAATAAAACCAGTTAACTCTGCTACTGGGTTATTAGTTTAACTTCTTAGAGCTCAAAGAATAATGTTTTATGCTTGTATTAGTTGAGAAAGTAGTAGGTTATATTTCTATATAGCTAAATTATTTTTGGTTATCAATCAAAAATAATCAGAATTTATTCAGTGATTTTCATGATATGAATTAAAATGCTTAAAAAGTAAAATAGTCATCATTTTCATTGACCTTTCAAGCTAAAAAAGAAAAAACAATAATTTAGTTAAGATAAAACAGTTATGCAGGATTATTTGAGAACAAATACAATTCGAAGAACAACCATTCATTCATTCATTCATCTGTTTATTTTTTACTTTGTTGTAGTAAAACTACAAGGCGACTTGAGAGCATATATAAAAGATAAGCGTAAACAAATTAATAAAAACATGGGCAGGAATACAGAGAAATAAAAATGATTGCCATTAGAACTATATACTTGCTGCCAATGAGCCGTAAATTCGACTCTACATTTTTCAAAGGGAAAATGGAAACCTTGTTTTTTTCACAATTTGGAAACCTTAGATTAAAAAAACTGAATTATTTAAGATATATGCAAGATATTAATGTGTATGAATTTTCCCAGGGCTTCTCATTAAAAAAGACAGTATTATATAAGTTTTATCATCCACCAAATTATTAATTTCATGGGCCTTTTAAGTCAAGACTTGAAATTATTTTTTTACTCAGTTATTGCTAGTGTTGTTAGACAGTTTTACAGCAGTGGGTCTCAATTTTAGTGTCACCTAAAGTGGTTATTAAAACACACATTTCTCAGCCCCACTCCCAGAGCTGCTGATGTAGCAGGTCGGGATAGGACCCGAGAATTTGCATTTCTAAAAAGTTATCAAATGATGCTGATGCTGCTGGTCTGGGGACCATAGTTTGAGAACCACTTAGATACAGAGTAGTGTTGAACAACTTGTACCTGACAATGATCTGCAGTGCTATCAACATTGAGATTCTTGCAGACTGAAAAGAACCATATGTGCAGGTGGGTGACCTTGTGCATGAGAAGCTCATTCCTTCCTTACAAGGTTGTATGGGAAGCCCTCACTAATTAACCTAGTCCTAATAACTGGTTGTAGAATCTCAATCTCTTTTCTGCATATCCAGTAGGTCCTAATAATTAGAAACTGAAAGTAAGGACCTGACATATATTGGAAAGGAATTTAATCAGCTGGAGAAACTCTTCAGGGCTATGTGGAAAGATGAAATGTGAGGTGAAGGAAGGAAACATGGAGTTGCCAGCAACATTTTAGCTTCATTTCACAGGTAAAGAAACTGAGATCCCCGAGGAGTTAAAATAACTATTAAGAGATGGCATCAGAATTTGAAACCAGACCATTAGCCCAAGACCTGAGTTCTTAGTAAAGGAAAACTTGATTTTATCATCATCGCTGTCATCATCATCATCATTTCTAATAATATTCTATTTGTGAGTGATTTGAAGAAAATCTTTAATCATATCTGATATTGCCTGACTTTTTGCATAAATTAATAAGCAAATATTTTATTTTAGATTGTAAATTCAATTGCCATAAGCGCTGTGCATCAAAAGTGCCGAGAGACTGCCTTGGAGAGGTTACTTTCAATGGAGGTAATATTCTTAATTTTCATAAAAGATCAGAAAAGGTCACAGTTTTGTGTATTTTCTTTGTGTAAGGTTATATTTGCATATTTTGTTTACTTCGTTTTTTAACTTTGACCTCTTTCTGATTTTAACAATCAAGCAAAAAACAGAAATCAGTGATGATATACTTTTATTAGTAATTATGCCTTTCCATCTTTCCTTTAGCTATCTACCACTTTGTAGTCTAATATAGCCAATAGTGCTACATATCCTCTTTCATCTTTAGATATAAAAAGACATTTTTAAAACCTTGCAGTTATCCCTAGCACTATTTCATAGTCCTAGCATTTATTTACTGTTTACTGTATGCCACGCACTGTGCTAAACTCTAACACATATTAGAATGTAATCCTAAGACCAGCCCTTTGAGGTAGCTACTTACAGATGAGTTAACTTAGGCACAAAGACATTAAATAATTTGCCTAAGAAATACAGACAGTAGGTGGTAGAGTTGAGATTTGAACTCCTTTGGCCTGGCTTCTTAGTTTGTAATCGTTAGAACACATTGTATAGCCTCACTGTCTCTTTATCAAATAATTATCAACTAAACATTTTCCCTTTTTGCCATTTTTTTTTTCTCTTTTCAAGATTATATTGAAGTGATTACCTTTTTTGGAAGGAAGGAGTAATGACTCTAAACTTTCATCATAGTTTTTCTTTAACATTTCTGTGACTGGTAAAATATTTTAAGTTCTATAGGAAGAAAAGCAGCAGCATAAGGAATGTAAATTTAAAATCTCCTTAAGATTTAACATTTTCTCTTATGGCATGTTTTTTATAGTTTCAGTTTAACACTATTGACAGAGAACGATTGGTTTTCTTGTTTTTCTATATTACTGAAGTCTTTTCTAGATTTATAGTTCATGTATTTTTGTGGTTTTCTACTTATTGACAAATGGATATGAAACACTATATCGGTTTATTTATAAATATCAATTTATATTTACCTGTATAAAGTCCAGCTTACTTTTTTTTTTTTTGGGTCACTTACGTTTTTAGTAAAGTTACAAAGATTTACTCTTGTGTTTTCTTCTAAGAGTTTTATAAGTTTAGCATTTACTTCAGGCCTGTAGTCCACTTTAAGTTAATTTTTCTATTTGATTTAAGGAAGCGGTCCAGTTTCATTTTTTAAATGTAGATATCCAGTTGTCCTAGCACCATATATTGAAAAGACTATTTTTTTCCAATTCAATTGTCTTGGACCCTTGTAGAAAATCAATTGACCAGACATAATAGTGGTGGCTAATCTTTTACTTTATTTCTAGTATTTTTTTGTCATATACAAATTTAAAATTCTAATATAATCAAATTAATTAATTTTGTGACTTACAGTTTATTTTGTATCTTTCTTTAGAAATATTTCTTTATCCTGAATCATAAAGATAATTTCCTACATTTTCATGGAGTTTTGAAACTTTTTTTCATATATAACATACTGTCTCTGTTTAAATGTATTGATTGCCCTTCATGTAAAACTCTGAAATTCATGTAAAATTTTTCCAGAACCATCCAGTCTGGGAACAGACACAGATATACCAATGGATATTGACAGTAGTGACATGAACAGTGATGGTAGTCGGGGTTTGGATGACACAGAAGAACCATCTCCCCCAGAAGATAAGATATTCTTCCTGGATCCAGCTGATCTTGATGTGGAAAGAGATGAAGAAGCTGTTAAAACAATCAGGTAATACATGGTTAGGTATTTCAAGCTACTTCCAAATTCAAGATCAGTCTGGGAGCTTCATTAATGAAGAAAAAGCCCCACATCTCTTTAAGTAGAACCTAAAATGTTTAATTGGAAATCTAATTAATTCGTGTCTCTTTGACATGCACCATAGTCTTTCTGAAATAAATCATCTTCCCATCCACTCAAGATGAGAAGGTGTGGGAATCTTGTTTTCTTAAAGAGAAAAATGCTTTATTTAAATATAGTCTAGATATCATATCTAGCTCTGGAGCAGCCCCCACAAAATGTCAGAATTGAACCACCAGTTAAAGCAACCACTTTCACATAGCCTTTATGCAAGGAGATTACCCGATGTTAGAAACACCAGTAAGAATATATACCTGAGAACTTTGCGCAAAGATGTTGGTGACAAATTTGGGGACAGTTTTCATATTACCACAATTATTCTGGCTTTTAGAACTTTGTAAAAATGTTATTGGATTATAAAGCTTTTAAATATCTCCTATGTTAATAGAAACTCAGTGTTTTGTATATATAGCCCTGTGGGGTGTACTACTTTGTAGTAAAATGTTCACACATTGGCAGGTTTTGTTTTTCATTAGCAACGAAGAAGTATTTAAAGTGAATGTGTCATTTTTTCAGTCTTACATGACTGAGTTGTCATTTATTCACTTTGGCTTATCCTTAAATTACAGTTCTTATTATCATTATTATTAACTAAAACTTTATGTTTACCCAGTTTGGAGACTCTTAAGAGAACTTAGCTAATTTCCTAATCATGACTACTTCATAATTTAAGGGAATGTATTAACTGTTTGAGAGTCAAACTCAAAAACAGTGTATGTTTTATACATACCCCACAAACTGCTCTTTTTTTCTTGTGACACTGTTACTGACCCATGTTTCAATGTTACCTGATTTGACTCATTACGTTATTTATTATTTTCTTAATATCTGTAAATTTTCAATATCTTTTACTAAATACTTTTTATAAAAATATGAACAAACTGTGAATTTGAGTATAGGTATAATTTTTGCCTGGTTATGAATTTACTAATTTATCTTGCTGCCTAGGGCAGGAAGCTTCCTTAATACCAATCCCAAATGGGACCCTCTCCTGGGCTCCGGATCTTCTCATTAGGGAGAATTCTTTCTGCTCTGTTCATTGTTTTCTTATGTTTTGTGATCTCCAGAAAATATTTATAACAAATAATGAGGACTTAACAGTATTACTTTAATCTTTTATAGATCAACTATGTATCATCATAACAGGATTAATTCTCTTCTTAAGCCATTGTTTGTCTTCACAAGATATTTTGAAAAATTTTAGCTCAATTATCTTTAAAAGGGCTTGATGAACTTATAGTATGTATGATTTTTTAAAATTAAAATTATCAATATTTATCATAAATATTAAATATTTTTTAGTCCATCAACAAGCAATAATATTCCGCTTATGAGAGTTGTACAATCCATTAAGCACACAAAAAGGAAGAGCAGCACGATGGTGAAAGAAGGATGGATGGTCCATTACACCAGCAGGGACACCCTGGTCAGTAATCACAGACATTTCTATGTGGCGAAATTTCGTTATGTGCTTTATTTTCAAAATGAGAATGATATATATGTATGTGTATATATTTGTAGAGAATTTTTAAAAGACAGAATATTTAATATCTTGTCTTTACAAACTGGTAGAGCACTAGAAATTTAGAAAGGGTCTAAGGTAATAATACCAAATGTATGAAAGAAATAATCGATAAGCTGAACTTTTATTACAATTTAAAACTTCTATTCTGTGAGAGACAGTGTCAAGAGACTGAGAAGACAAATCACAAACAGAGAAAATATTTGCAAAAGAGACATTGATAAAGACTCTTCAGAATATGCAACGAACTCTTAAAACTCAAGAGTAAGAAAACAGCTGATTAAAAAAGTGGGTCAAATACCTTAATACATACCTAACCAACAAAGGTACAAGGATGGCAAATAAGCATATGAAAAGATGCTCCACATTATATGTCACCAGGAAAATGCAAATTAAAACAATGAGATGCCACTACACACCTATAAGAATGACTAAAATCCAGAACCCTGACACCACCAAATGCTGAGGAGGATGTAGAGCAACTGGAACTCTCACTTATTGCTGATGGGAATGCAAAATGGCGCAGGCACTTTGGAAGACAGTTTGGCAGTTTCTTGCAAAACTCTTACCATATGAGCCAGCAATCACACTCCTTGCTATTTACCCAAAGGAGATGAAAACTTATGTCCACATAAGTTTTTAAACCTGCATGTGCATGTTTACAGTAGCTTTATTCATAATTGCCAAAACTTGGAGACAACCAAGATGTCCTTCAGTAGACTAATAATAAGTAAACTGATATATCCAGATAATGGAATATTACTCAGCACTAAAAAGCAGTGAGCTATCAAGCCATGAAAAGACATGGAAGAACCTTAAATGCATTTACTAAGTGAAAGAAGCTAATTAACACAGTGTTCACAGACAGGGAAATACAAATGACTCTTAAACATAAGAGCTTAATCTTAAAATACAGTTTAAAATTTCAGTGAAATACTAGCTCAAATAGCAAAGATCAAAAAGTTTAGCAACATTAGTGAAGGTATGAGTAAGACATTTACATGTTGTTCATTAGCCTATAAATGGGGTCAAATCTTACGTCAGATAATTTAATACCGTCAAGCAAAATTATATGTGCATATATCTTTTGACCCAGTAAGCCAGCCTTTAGAAATTTAGCCTATCAGTAAATTTTCTCTCCCCACACCTTCCTTCCCTTCCTCTCTTTCTTCCTTCCCTCCCTATGTACCTCCCTCACCCTCTCTCCCTCTCCCTCCCTCTCTCTTTCTCCCCACATGTGTGTAGTAGATATGCATTTGCATATGCATGCATAAAATCCTCTCAAAGGATTCCCAAAAACCTAATAACATCACTGCCAGGAGTAAGGGTAGGAGTGGGATATGAGTGATGGTGGGATGATGATACTTTTCGCTATATGTCCTTTATATAGTTTCAGAATTTTGAAACTAATGAATTTTAAACCTATTAAAAAGTACAGATTTAGGAATAAAAGCGAAAGGAAAAGAAAAATACAGATACTTTGGAAGAATAATTATTTTTGAACCTGTTTTATAATCTTTATTTTATAGAGAAAGAGGCATTATTGGAGACTTGACAGCAAATGTCTAACATTGTTTCAAAACGAATCTGGATCAAAGTATTATAAGGTAAAGATTTCACATTTAAAAAAATGTGTTAAAATACTGTATGTTTTCCAAATATAGCTGAATAACATTTATTTATTGTTATATTGGAATATACCTATTATGACTCTGCCTAATATAGTTTATAGAAGTCACTGCTAAGTTCCTTGTTGAATACCTGCCCCCCATCCCTCCATTTTACCCCCTACGACTCTGCTGCCAAAGGTGAGTTTTTTTGTTTGTTTTTGGCCAGCTTGTCAGGTTGCTGCTGCTTTACTTCTTGATACTTTGACTTAGGTTAACTATTTAGACACTCCCATGATCATGGCCTCCAGAAGAGGCCAACGTGGCATTCGATGTTTCTCTCACTTTTCATTTCACCTTACTCCCCAGTTCTCAAATACTTCTTTTGGCTCTTCATCTACTTTGTATAGTCTTCTTTGCTTGGCTTGCTTCACATTTTGCCATGTGGCCGACTGACACCAAACAAAATTGGAAGTATAGCAATTGTATCAGAAAGAACAGTAAAACTAATGACTTGGTTGGGTTTTTTTTTTTAATAAATATTTTTGCCTTAGGAAGTGGAACTAAAATGCTTGTTACAATTATGGACAGAACCAGAATGACCTACTTAAACAACCAACACTGACATTCTAATTTGCTGATACTATTTCTGCTTCATACTCTTGGGGGATGTATCTTGCAGACAGCAGCCACTTCAGAAGTAGTCATTGAGTTGATATTTAATGACAATTGAAAAGTGACAAGTGTTGGATGTAGCAGCCATTGGCTTCCTAAACCTTCTCTTTCCTTGCATTCTAATGAGCCGCTGGCTTAATTATTATACTCCACACTCTGCCTCTGGCATTATTGGACATGCAGATCATTCAAGGCAGATACTGTCGTTAGGACTTGACTGTGTATTGTGCCACATACTTGTGTTCATCTTAATGGTATTTATTAGAATGCATATCTTTGGTTGTTTAGTGTATTTGAAAATAAAAACAAGTATTTATGTTTTTCAATGCTTAATTTTTTACCTCAGGAAATTCCACTTTCAGAAATTCTCCGCATATCTTCACCACAAGATTTCACAAACATTTCACAAGGCAGCAACCCACATTGTTTTGAAATCATCACTGATACTATGGTATACTTTGTTGGTGAGAACAATGGGGACAGCTCTCACAATCCTGTTCTTGCTGCCACTGGAGTTGGACTTGATGTAGCACAGAGTTGGGAAAAAGCGATTCGCCAAGCTCTCATGCCCGTTACCCCTCAAGCCAGTGTTTGCACTTCTCCGGGGCAAGGGAAAGATCACAGTAAGCAATACGCTTGTTGGTGGTTTTCTCTCCTCTGGGTCTTAAGCATTTCGTGGTATGGTCATGTTTCTGTATGTATTTTTAATACTCATTTTATGTTTTATCTTTAGTAACCAATACCATTAGTTAATTCCTTTATAAGGTTATCTTGCTTATAGTGTGTACATACGGTCCCCAGAGCTAGGCTCCAGGGTCAGTCTCCCTACATTTAAATCCTGTCTCGGCCCACCTTCTACGTGATCTTAGATAAGTACTGTACCTCTCTGTAATGGTACGTTCTTTATAGAGCTGTCAGTATTAAATGAAAGAACCTATAAGGTATAGAAAAGCATTTGTCATCCATGAATTCTCATTGGATTAAGTGATATAACAGTCCATGAAGAGTTATAGTTCACATCACAGTCATGAAATCAATAAAGTCAGAAATGCTCTATTTCCTTTAACTGAATTAAAACATTCAGAAATATTAAAAAATTATTGAAACATATGTCCTTTGCACTGATGACATTTATAAAATAAAACCTAAATCAGAAAGCCATATATAATGTCACTTTCTGCTCACTGGTATTATATTATTTATGGGGAAACATATTCATTCAATTCAAATATATTTAAATTGAAACAGATAACCAATTTCTAAGTATAGTTTATTTCAGTTCAGCTATATTATTTTGTGCAACTGTTCTTGGCATTATGCTAGGCCCTGATCTAGAATGCAAAAGAAATACGGACATTTCAAAAGCTACTTAGGGAGATAAGACATAGGTACACAGGTGTTTGACGGTACCATAAAGCAGAAGAGTGCAAAAAGGAGTAATGCGTTACTCAGGGACCTCAAATATGTATAGAAAGAGTGAACAAACTTCATGGCAGAAGAACTGAGCCTGGACCTTGAGCTTCCATCTCAGGGAGGTTAGGATAGGAAAGGCTAAAGGGGGGAGGCGGATGGAGTAGTGATACTAGTTAAGGAGACAGGGACAAAGGTAATGACCATGAACATGTTTGGTGTCTAATATTATTAGAGGTTGAATAGATGGATATTCACAGTGCTTCTTAAGTTTGAGGGGGTTTTAGAAATGTCGTATATTCTAATTAAAATCACTGACCTTTTCCCAATATAATCCAGGCACATACTCACAAATTTTATTTGTAATTGGGTTTTGAAACCTCAAGCCCACACAAAGAACTCCTCCCTAGGGTTGAGAATTCCTAAAGGCAAAATTACAGAAGGGTTAAGAGTGAGGATTCTGGAGAATGAAACCCCAGTTTTCTGCTTACTAGCGGTGTGATCTTGGTCCCTACAGTTCTCTAAAGTGGGCCTAATAATACCTAATGCAGTTAATGCACTTAGCACAGTTTCGGATACATTAGTGATACTGTTACTCTGTTGCTGCTGCTGCTGCTGCTGCTGTCCTTGTAACCTATCTGGAACAGAGTTCTGGGAAGCAATAGAAATTAAAACTGGATGGAGCTCTAGACAGTGGAAGCCTTTGAAATAATAAATAGTGACTTAGACTGGGAGATTGGAACTACATAAAGCAGAGTTTTAGACACATTAATTTTGTTTGGTATATATTCCTTGATTTGGGGAGGCATTGGGGAAGGGGCACCTATAACATCTGTACTAATTGCCATATTTTAATTTTTATGAAAAATGTGGTTGTACTCTGGATGTTCTTCACAATTTGCTTTTATCCACTATTTTATATACGTCAGATATATTTTCATGTCATTATACAGATTTACCTAACTTTCGAATTTTTTATTGAAGTAATACATATGCTTTTTATGTTTTAAATAAATGAAAGCAGTATACAAGTATATAAAGACTAAAATCTTTGTTCCCCAACACTACCTGTCTCACTCACCAGAGGTAATCATATTTTTCCTTGTTTTTAATTCAAGTGCCACTATCCTGCAACTTACCTTTTGAACTTAATAATACGTCATGGATTGCTTTCTGATTTGGTACTTACAACTATAATTAGGAAGTGTTTAGCTAGTATTCCTTTGTATGGATGTATAATATGTTATCCACTTTCTCTTGCTGGATTACTGTTGCATGTGTGAATCAATTTTTTTTAACAAATGTAATTACATTATGTTAACTGAATGTTAACCAGTTTAAAAAATTTAATGTACTGTGAGCATTCACATGTCAGTAAATATTAATATTGTTAAGTCATATATTAACAGTTTTCTTTTCTCATACATCAATATTATATTTTACAGAAGATTTGTCTACCAGTATCTCTGTGTCTAATTGTCAGATCCAGGAGAATGTTGTAAGTAAAAATTACAGCTTGTTATGCTGCTATAGATATCAATCAGTATGTGTTTTTCAGAGGGAATGGAGAGTATAGGATATTCTGGTCATTTGGTAAAAAAAAAAGATGTTAGACTGGCCTTAACTGTAGTACTGATTTGACCCTGATATGATGTTCTGAATTGTTTATATTTTTAATAGATTTTTCTATTTCCCTTATTATATCATAAGCCCCTTAAGTCTGTTATAAATTAGCGACCTATCACAGAGTCCCATATACAGTTAGGGCTCAATAAATGTTTATGATAATGTTAAAATAAAATAAAAATTAGAACGGATTTAAGAGATGTAGACCAATACCTGGACATCTTGATACTTTATCCATAGCCTCATTTAATTTACTAAATCCAGTGAGATAGATGTTACCACATCAACTTTATCAATGAGGAAATTGAGGCCTAGGAGACTAAATTTACTTTTTATAGATCACTACTTAATAAATGTAAGATTTTTTTAAAATCCAGAGCATTTTCCCCCAAAGGTCTTCTTACAGAGTACATTATACATCACATTAAGATAGTATAAAAATTAGGCTTACTTTTTTAGGACCTAAAAAGCTTATGTTTTATAAAATATTTTGTTATGGAAATTAGTTGCTTCTTTCATAAAAACAAATGAATTTGTCTTTGAATGAAAAGAGTCAGAGATATTGATGTTGCCTTGTGGAGGATAATAATACTGCCTTCTCTTTCCTGAACAGGACATCAGTAGTGTTTACCAGATCTTTGCAGATGAGGTACTCGGTTCAGGCCAGTTCGGCATCGTTTATGGAGGTAAGTGACTATAGACTTGCATATGGTGCACACTACAGAAATATTGTGAAATCTTAAAACATCTGCCACTTGTTATGTATTGTCACAATTAAGTAACAGAATCATAAAATTAGTTTCGCAATAGCCTTACTTTATCTCTTCTTGTAGCTCTTACATAAAGACATTTAAGTGGGAAAAATAAATTGTTTGAAGTTTATGTTGGGCTGTGAAGGCTTGTTTATTGACGTATGTGCCTTACTGTTTTTTCCAACACAAATGGCACCGTTTGTCTACTGTTGGCATAAAAGTTATAGCAGGTCTGAAGACCTGAGATCTTATCCAGCTCTGTGACTTAAGATATTGGCAAAGTCATCTAACCTCACTGTGTCTCAGTATCTTCATCAGTTTAATGGAGCAAATAAAACCTGACCTGCATAGCTCTCAGGGTAGTTAATATTAATTAAACCTAATATACATAAAAGTACTTTATAAGCTGTGAACCACGGTGCAAAAGAAATATTAAACTCTTGTCATCCTTTGCTGAGACTATTATAGTGGTCTCCTAGTTGGCCTTACTGCCTCCAGGCTCTAATATGTTAAATCACTGTATTGACTCAGTAAATCCAGAATAAAATTAATTCATTGGAACAATGTTTTTATCAACACAGTATCTGAATACTAAGGGAGGGTAGTTAACTTTCATTTATTTAATAAGGTAGATTACTTTTCACCAAACAAGTTGATTCAAATTTCCTACCATTTCAAATAATGAAACATCCTTTATTAGGAGCAAATACTGTAGAGGGAAAACATAATTTATTTCTCAAAATTAAAGATGAGTGAAGGAGAAAGGACAAAATGAACCAAAGAAAAGAAACGTAAGAGTAAATCCATATAAATTGTGGACAACTTTGTGATAAAGCTTTTGTATGTGAGCTGTCAATTTGCTTCTTTTCTATATATATATATAATTTTTTTTAAATAGGAAAACATAGAAAGACTGGAAGGGATGTGGCTATTAAAGTAATTGATAAGATGAGATTTCCCACAAAACAGGAAAGTCAACTCCGTAATGAAGTGGCTATTTTACAGGTAATAAAACAAAGTTGCTTTATATTGGTTTTGATTTTTGATTTATGAGTTTTAAATCCAAGGCTGTTTCATGTACTGACCAAAATAAGATTTGTTTTTTGTTTTATTCACATCTTATAACCTTTTGGCTCAGTGAGAGATTGTTGAGCATCTGAATCAACTCGTTCTTTTTTAAAAGGAAAAATTAGATTACGCTAAGCTAGGAAGTTGAAAGGCCTATCATTATTTTGCTCTATGATAATAATTTGGAACATATTTTCATACGTAAAATCTTTTAGAAAAAGAAAATTTCATTCTTAATTCATCACTCCAGGAGCTCAAAGTACTTGATTTATCTGCTACATTTTGTTGAGTCGTTGTTATACCACCCGTTTCACAGATGAGGTACATGATTCTTACAGCAATTACTGTAAAAATAAAGACTGCTTAAAAATTGTTTACCTTTTAACAGTAGTGGTTATTTTATGCAAAACTCTAGAGATTTAATTTTATATAGGTTTAATCCATTAAAGTCTATTTTTAAAGATATAGTGGCAGTGACTTAAATCCTATAAAATAAATTACTGTGTGTTTTTATTTTCATTTAACATTTTTATCTCTTTTGGGGGTCATCTAGAAAACTGAAATTTAGGTTTATCTTTTGATTTTTCTGATAAATATTTCAGTACTTTAAATTTTTTTTATGTTTAATATCATATAAACAATTTATAATATACAAGTTTCTGTTAATTCATTGTATAGCTTTTGCATATTTAAGAAATGGTGATTAATAGTTAATGCTGTCAGTACCCTATTTGCTTGTGGGTGAATTTCGAGAAGACACACTTACTGAACTTAATGCTTCTTTGAAGAAGAAGGTAAGAAATTTCTCAACACATAATTAATTTTACATTTATTACGTCGTTGGTCACTAGTAGTAACATTTGCCTTACTTCTTTTTCAGAGGAGTAATAATCAAAAGATTGGTCTGCAAGCTACCTGTGGTCACTTTAAGGCTACCTCCTCCTACAGAGAAAGTTACCTTAAATAGAACATTAATATCATTCAGACTCTGTATTTAGGGTGTGAATATATTGTTGAGATCTTTTTTCATATCTAACTTTGGATTCTGTCTCATTGTCCAACTAATATGCAAAAAAATAATAAAATTTAAGGGTTTATTCCTAAAGCTTGATTTTTTTGTCACTTTAAGCACAAACATAGCTCTGAACTACACACTGAAGCTCTTTCCCCATGTAATCAACTGTGGATCATAATAACTGAATATAGGAATTTTCAGATCATGCACAATGCAAAAACTTTATTATTATATCCTTTTGGTTATCTTCCTTGAAATTGCCCAACTTGGAGTAAAATTAAGTGATTGTAGCATGTCTCCAAATATAGTAATGTCATCTTAAATTTAATATAATTCTACCTTTGTTATAGATTCTCTTAAAATTGTTTACATTAAATATTTATATTTTTATATTTAGTCAATGGCTTACTTTGTGTCAGAAACATACTTATTTTTTCTCAAACTCACACAGAAAGAAGATAGATTTTTGAATCTAAGTTTGTCTCCAAACCACATATTCTTTCTGCTCTACCACATTGGACCTGCTCAATATGTGTGTACACACATATGTAAAATTGTGACTTCATTTATTCCTTTGCAGTGTAGAAACTCTGCATATTCTTCTGTATGTATAGTGTAAAGATAAACATTAACCTCTTTTGTATATGAATTGTAATTCTATTAGTAGAATCTGAATTAATGTGGCAAATACATTTTTTAATAGGAAATTTTCAAATAGCTCATTTACTAAATTTAGTTCCACAAGATTTAGTCATATGAGCATTTCAGCTAGATTTTCAAATGGGTTGAAAGGAACCCATACCACCCTGTGGTTCTCCCTTTCCCCCTCCAGCTGTGTCATCTTTACTTTCTCGTCTTTGCCCTGGGTTCTTATATGTAGTTCTCATCAAACCTAAAAGGCTGGCTGAACCCCTGATCCTGGTATTGTAATCTTCATCTGCAGCTCCACACCTACATCTTTATAAAGAACGGAAAAGATAAAGACTAAATAAGCATATTATTGAGACCACAGCTTTAACCTTTCTGGTGACAGAAAGGAAAAATATATAGAATCATTAATTTAGAAGTGACCTTACAGTTTACCCAGGGACATCCAGCCTGTCTCTTGAGCACTTGGTTAATAGGCTCTGTATTTCTATCACTTTAATAGACATGAGCACAAGACATTTTTAGACATCTTTGACTATTAAGCTGAACCAAAATCCCTTGAAAAAAGTTCCAAACACTGCAGATACTATAGTCAACAAATGAATCTCTTTTCCAAATGATGGCCATATTGACTTTCTTGCTGTTCCCCAAACTCACCAGATGTGGTCCTATCTCACGGACTTTGCATTAGTTGTTACCTCTGCCTGGAATACTTTCTTCTTCCCATCATGAGCATGGCATATTTCCTTAACCTCCATCACGTTTTTGCCCAAATGTCATTTCTTCAATAAATCCTTTGCATTCTCTTCACCATTAAAGCTACCCCTTCCCCCTGCACTCCCTTACTTTGTCTTTTCGCTACAGTAGTCATCACCTCCATAGTAGATGATTGACTAGTTTTTCACCTATTGTCTTTCTTACCTTGCTAGAATTAAGAAGCTCCAAGAGACATTTGTCAGTTTTGTTTACTGATGAATCCAGACTACTTATATAGTACTAGGCACATAGCGAATACTCATCTAATATTTATTGAATAAATCTATGTGGGGAATTATCTATAAAATATTGTTAAATATTAAATGGGATGATTTCATTTGTTTAATTTCTTAAGGTATTATGTGTATTATGTCTACATATGGTTATGTATAGAAAGGATTTATAATTACATAAACTGTCAACATTGCATTTCATAGATATGGTAATATAAAA